CACCAGTAATGATTTTTCTAAGGCACATAAGTAAATGATACTTTACTTATAGTCCCTAATTAAACTATAACCTAATCCTGGTTGGATGATCAAAACAAACTTTTATTTTTAATGCTATTAATCTTAGCCCAGCACTAAGACGTGTATATATATATGTATATACATACATTTTATACAACTTAGTGATGCATATATTTATATACACAAAATTTTACACAGTACGCACAAAATATATTTAATATTTTAATGGATGTGATTAGGGGCGTGGCTCAGTGGTTAGCACTGTCGCCTCTCTGCAAGAAGGTCACTGGTTTGAGTCTCGGCTGGGCCAGTTGGCAATACTGTATGGAGTTTGCATGTTCTCCCCATGTTGGTGTGGGTTTCCTTTGAGTGCTCCGGTTTCCCCAAAAGTCCAAACACGTGCGCTATAAGTGTGTGAGTGCATGTGTGAATGTATGGATATTTCTCAGTACTGGGTTTTGGCTAGAAGGGCATCCGCTGCGTAAAACATACTGTATGCTGGATAAGTTGGTGGTTCATTCCGCTGTGGCGGCCCCTAATTAATAAAGGGACTAAACCGAAGGAAAATGAATGAATGGATGCGATTAATCATGACTATTCTTTTGACAGCAACTAGTTTTAATGTAATCTGAGTCTAAGCCACAGGTGTCAAACCCAGTTCCAAAAGGGCCGCAGCTCTGCACAGTTTAGTTCCAACCCTAAATAAACACACCTGATCAAACTAACTGAGTCCTTCAGGCTTGTTTGAAACGTACAGGTAAGTGTGTTGGAGCAGGGTTGGAACTAAACTGTGCAGGGCTTCGGCCCTCCAGGAATTGAGTTTGACACCCTTGCTCTTATTCATGTCTGTGAAACTGGGCGCAAGTGTGTTAGTGCAGTTCTGACCTGAGCATAGAGGTTCTGCTGTGGATAGGCACTTCTGATGGGGTACATGGCCGTGGGGTAGGGGTTTGGGGACGGGGAGTACGGTGGAGGGGCTCCATTGCTCTGAGTAGGGGGCACTTTATAAGGCGTTCCTGCAGTATATCCTGAAACACAGACAGAGAGACGGATCATCAGGCTGCGCAAACATCTGAGACATCTCCATCGAGTATAACACATAGGATGAGCAAAAAATAACCATATGACCTGGCTGGAATAAACAAAGGTAATGACGCCATCTTCTGGTGCGCAACGGTAATGCATGCAAAAATGTGAAGTATGTGAAGTATCTCTCTCTCTCTCTCTCTCACACACACACACACACACACACACACACACACACACACACACACACACACACACACACACACACACACACACACACACACACACACCATCTATTAGGTATTTATAGACCATTTTCGATGTGATCATGTCATTGGCCCATGTACATGTCCTGCTTGTTATCAAACTATTTCATAACTGTAAAAAGAGACAATACAATTACAACTTCATGTTAAAACTGCTCTCATAACATTATCAATATGTGACTCTTTGGAGTTTTGGAAGCTATAGAAATTACAAGTGTAAAACAGGATATACATTAGGACCATGGTTTTTGTTTACATCCCTCAAAATGGTCTATTAGTCTGAGACTCACTGGAAGATACAAAAAGTAGAAACAAAAGCACACAAAGTTTGACTTGAGCTGCACAAAGCCAAGTCTTTTAATGCAAGACACTGTAGGAGAATAGAGTAAGACGAAAAAACTATATAAATAACCATACTTCCAGAGTTGACCGCTTGCATTTGTTGTATTACAAGTTTTCTAAAATGTTATGCATGTATAAATATGCACATGAGACATTGTTTAAAAATATGCACTCATTTGGAAGTATTTCTGCCACAAGTCATGTTTTTGCAAGTATTTGACAGATAGAGCTGCATTGATATTGATAATCATAATTCAGAAAACACTGAGCAGCCAAAATACACAGTGAACAGCCAAAATAAATAGTTTCATTAAGGAATGTGTGTTATGTGTGAACAAATACCTCGGCTAAAAGCCTTTAGAATATAGATAATACATAAACCTGTACAGTTCTGTGTATGAAAAAGTTACCGAAGTGCAGATTGATGACACATTTTCAGAAAAAGACTTAAATAATATTGAATTATTATCTGTATAAATCAGGGGTGCCCAACCCTGTTCCTGGAGAGCCATCATCCTGCTGAATTTATTTGCAACCCATATCAAACACACCTGCCAGTAATTCTCTCGTAATGTTCAGATCCTAATTAATTGGTTCAGGTGTGTTTGATATGGGTAGCAACTGAAATCTGCAGGAAGGTGGCTCTCCAGGAACAGGGTTGGCCACCCCTGGTATAAATAATCATCAGGTACAAACAGGGGTCTGTTCTTCGTACGTGGATTTCTCAATTAGCTGGATTTGGATAATGACGATTTGACACGATCCAGGATGGTTTAGTTCTTCAAAACTCATCTGAGACTCATCTGAGTTCTGGTAGCTCAAACCTACTTGGGAGCAGGTTCATTTCATATAAACAGGATTAGATCGGGTCAGTTCAAGCAAATATAATACTAAAAGTAGGTACCAAATGCTGATATTTTCTTACAGTAGTTATGTACACTTGGGAAAATAGTAAATATATATATTTTAATAAAACGTATGCAATATGCACTCCGAAATATAAGTACAAAGACTGCCACCTGGTGGTTCAAAGTTAAAATTCATTGATATGGACTTTTTAGATGCAAACGTGTTCATGCACAATAGTCGACTTAAAAAAAAAAAAGATAATAATGCAGTCATGCCCACCTTTATCAATATCAAAATGCTTTTTTGATGCAAAATAAATATATACAGTTATTCCTTTCGCTGATTAAAAAACTTGAGTAGGCCTATATGCTACTATGGTAAAGAAAATCGTCTCTAAATGTAGAACTAAATACATTGATATGCATTGAAATACATGATGAATACTCTTGACACATGAAAGTGTAAAGCCTGCAGCTCACAACAAATGTGGAAAGTTGTTGCGTGTCATATTTAGCAAAACGTTTACTGCTAATTTTAATTTTGCTCATATGGATAATTGAATATTAATCAGATGATGTCATTACGCTGCTGTGCCGTCAGCCAATCATTGAATTGCTGATCATGATTTCGAGAATCGATAGATCTGTCCTTCACAACACGCTCAGAGATCTCAGATCAGTTCATCCGGACATTTTAATCTGATTTGCGAACCAATGAAGAACCAAATTAGCCAGAAAGATTAAAAGATCAAGGATCTGCCAAATCATCTTAGATCATTTAAGCGAGGTACGAAGAACTGACCCCTGATCTAGTGCGACACAAAAGATCCAATTTAAAAGTGTTTTATAGATGCTAATATCTCGAGATGCATACAAATACAGTGATTTTGCCTGTAGTGTCTCGCGGTAAACAAACAATACTACAATTCATTAACTAAATACTCACAACTCCCAATAATGGCTTAATGCAAAAATAGCCTACAAAACCAAAAGCACATCATTACTACACATTTGTCAAACAGCTGATGCAACACACCAGATTCATATCTCTCTCGAGCCCCAGACATTTCTATGCCTGTCTAATTCAGTCGCACAACGCTGCTTTCACTGTATGCAATCTCAGCTCCTCAAGTTCTGAATCTACACTGAGATCAAACCTCAGCTCTCCTGACCGTCCGTCTGACCTCTGTTTTCTGAAACACATTACTCTGGTACGTGATGTGAGATTTTACCTGTCGCAAACCGCCTACCTATACGGAATTTTTAGACACACGTGTTGACATTTTCTTTGTTAACATATCATGCTCCTGCTAGTTGCCATGGCAGCGTTAATCAGTCATTTTATTTTAAGTTCATGTACTTAAAAACAAGATGGAAAACAAATATGCAGAATAAATCTAGTCTTATAAATATAATTTTATAAACAGATATGTACATTTATATTACGTATACACATATAATGACAAAACTAACTTAATTTGGATTAATATTAAGAAAAACCAAAAATAAAAATGAGATTTTAAACTATATTTTGATTTATTATGACACTGTTATACACTGTTTCTCATGTTAAAGGGCAACTACGATGTAAATCAACTTTTCTTTGGACAGTGGTGTGTGTAGGTATAGTGTTTGTACAGTCATACTGGGGTGAAATAAACACAACAACCTCTTTCTGAGTCGTTTATTAAAGAATTCAGCATTTAATGTTTCTCTCACTCTTGCAGCTGTGTGTGTGCAGTCAGTTGTGAAGCCAAGTGGAAATAGGCTTAAATAAAAAGGTGATGCAAAACGCATTCGATTATCTATAAAGCAAAAATCCTGGATATTTAAAAATATTTAGAAACTACGACCGAATGCATTTTTCAGAGCCCAAAACTGTGGGTCTGCAGAGTATGTGAGATTGTGTGTTGGAGTGTTGACAGGTCTTGCGCACACACAACAAGCAGTACAAAACGTGTAGGGCAAGAGAAGAGAATACTTGGGCGGCCGTTTCTTTTCTTGGGCGACCCGCCTATATATATATATATATATATATATATATATATATATATATATATATATATATATATATATATATATATATATATATATATATATATATATATATATATATTTAAATATACATAAATATATATATATATAATTTTTTTTTTATTAAATGCACAACAAAATAACAAAAATGTTAAAATAAAAGTGTTAAGATTAAAACTAATATAGTGTAGCAAGTGAATTACAGTAGGAACCTAATGAATTTAGCATTTATCTTTTGGGGCGAGGACAATTCCAAAATCCAATATAAAAGAGATATTAATTATTAATTACAGATTTGATCTTTGTTATTTAATCTACATCTGTGTTTGTGTGTATGCATATGTGTGTATAGGCTCATATGTGTGACTATGTGTGTATATACTGTATGTGGTCCTGATATTCAACTCATTGTGTGTGTGTGTGTGTGTGTATATATATATATATATATATATATATATATATA